ATGCATAAATTGAACAAATTATTTTAGTATTTTTTACAAAATAATACTCCATCTTAACAAGGATCTATTTGTTCTAAACAGCCTGTACACTCGAAAAATATTTACAAAAATCAAAAGAAGCCTCGAATCTTATGAAATATATAAACGAAACCAGTTACACTGTATTAAAATTAAGAGAAACGTCAAATTTGAATGAATCTCTCATCATCATTAGATGGATAAAAGTTAACAGAAACGGATGAGAGAAAAACAAATTAGCGCTATTGTGGCAAATACTTCAACATTCTTCGCACGTAAAGAGTGACCAAGAAGTTCGAAATCGACTTGAATAATATTTTTTTTCATCGTAAAATAGGTGATTGTGAATTTTTTTTTCTATGGGATAAAGATGCAGTGAAGCGAGCTTCACAAAATGACTACCAATTGACTCTAACAGCGGAAATAAAAATTAACAGTGAACTTTTCAGAACATTATGAAAAGAAAATAGTTGCCTAAGTATAACTTAAGCACTGAGATCAATTGCAAAAGTACTATAAAGTTATTCGATTGATAGCGACAAATCTTGACCGTAAAGTTAATTATAGAGAAAGCTTTTTAAAGTAGAGCAACAGCTTTTAAGTAAAAAAGATCATTATCTTCTGAAACTTTCAATAAGCTTATAATTTTCGTACTATATGAGTTAACGAAGTCAATAGAGAGTTATTTTGTAGAGTGCACTATTGCATTTTTTCCTCAAAGAGACAAATTTACACCCACTTATTTTACGATCGAGAAATTTATTATTCAAATCAAGAAAGGGGTTCTAGGTCGCTCTACGGAGCGTCTCATTTCAGGTACTTTGTTTATTTTTCATGATGGAGCCTTTAAACGAAAATAGTCAGCAATTTTTGTTTTTTAAATTACAAATATAAATTATTTTAATAGTTTTTCAATGGGCGCCTATTAACAAAACGTTAAATGTTTTTGTTGCAAAGCTCAGAATTCTTTTGTTATATTGTGTTCGATACTTTGTTTGATAGTGCAATTATTTATCGAATTTTTATTCGTATTTATAATACAACTCAAAACTCATTTAAGTAAATCTTCGCATTTGAGTTATTCAAACTTTTCTATTGAAAAGAATATTTGATTTGATAACTGAATCGAATTTCTAATGAAAGTCAACAGATATATTGAAAATTATTACTATGGTATTTTTAATTAGATATGTTACCATGTTTCTAAATAAGGTTGACGCTCGATTACTTATTTCTCTATGTTATTCATTTTGTTATGTTGAGTTATTATACAATTTAGTATTTTTTTTGAATCATTAGCCCTTAATCATGTTCTTTATTTATTTAAGGCGTTTAGAACTTTCAACTTTCAATAAAAAATTTGTTGATTATTTACAATTGAACATAGCTCTGTAAAATACGTTGTGGTATGTCTATGTTTATACTTTTAAATATTAAAAATGTTTTTATGATTAGAACTAGTTTTCTGATTTTAATTCTAATTTCAAACTTAATTCTTTCTATTCTAAAAGTCATTCAAACTGCTGAATATTCGTGAACTAAGCAAACAAAAATATAAAATAGAAGGGTTTGTTCATGAGTGGGTAAAGACAAAAGAGAGACACCGTGATGAAATTATGGATGTCGACGACTGTGATGCACAAGAGGATGAATCATTACAAAACTGCAATAAGCAAAAGAATATATATGAATGCGATGTTGAGCAGGGTTGCACAGCAGAATTTGTAAAATTTGGAAACTATATAAATCACATACTCATTGGTAACCATCGATGTACAGTTGAAAAACTTCCATTGAAAGATACAGCTATGAAAATGTATCATTCGAAGTTAGAAGAAGTCGAAAATCGACGATTAATATCCATTGATATGAAGTTAAAGGAAGTAATCGATGATGAAACAAGTTCTCTTCCGAAAGGTTGGGCTTTGCCTATACGCAAGCCTAACACAAACTTTTCAGAAAAACAGCGGGCATATCTCCAAAAAAGATTTGATAAAGGCGTTTCCGGTGTGAAATGTTGGAAGCCGAAAGAGGTGGTGTTAGATATGGAGACTTTGAAAGAAAACGGCAAGTTTTACTTTTCGGCTGGCAAAATTTTAAATGGAAATCAGGTTCGCTCATTTTTCTGTTGACTAAAACGCGAAGGGCAGATGACTGCTACGCGGAACTCGTCAGCTGATAACGTAGTAATCAAAGACAAACTTGTCAAAAATCCTAGTCATGATAATGACGATGAAGAAATTGATGCCGAGATAGAAGCATTGGAGCAAGACTTTCAAGATATTGAGATTGCTCTCCAAGAGATTAAAATACTGGAAAGTCTTAGTATAAATGCTAAGATGGCACTTGAATCGTCTCTTTTGATGAATTTCTCAGCTGCTGCTTCCTCTACGACATTAAAGAAAAACAAATAAAACGTAAAATGGGCACGGGCATATCGATTAATGTCCGCATCAATATAAATACATGGGCCCGGGTTTTCCGAATAATGCCCATTGATAAAGACTAATATTGTTTGCATGAGCGTGGATATTCCGAGTAAAACTCACAAACAATATGGGGACACGGGTTTTCCGAGTACTGCCCCTCCTCTTCAAGCAGGATGGGCTCTACATGCCGAAGAGGAGAAACACGAAAAAGGTTTTCCTTAACCGTGGCCAACAATCCTGCATCTTCTATGAAGTAAGTAGGCAATATTTAAATAATACTTGAACTGCTAGTAAATATTCAATGGACATTAACCGATTTGTAAAGTGTTTCTAACTCTTTTTGCATGACGTGATGCCTGTCTAAGATTAGCTAACCCATCTTACCTTCATAAATTACAATAAGTGTTAATTCATTAGTTTACATAGTGCACATATTCATTAAAATATGCCGTACCTATGTGGAAAGTGCTCTGGATAATTCATAATCTACTCAAATTTTTGTTTTTTTTTGAAAAAAATCACTCACAATAATTTTTTCTTAGAAATCCTGTCTAGTTAGTCAACATTGCGGGTCATTTTTCGACTAAAAGTGAGATTTTTTTAAAACTTTTTTTAATGATTTTGTAGAAGAGAAAAAGTTGTACAACATATGTGAAATTCAGTCTGGGGAATCAACGAATGACTGAATGACAGTTGATATACTGAAGATAGTTGACACATTTTTTTACTCAAAAAATTGTCAATCTTAGACAGTATTTGAGATATAACTCTCGATCAGCAGATTGAAATATAAGTTGTAAATAAGTAATTTTGTTCAGCTTTCGATGCTTTATCTTTTGGTATATTACACGAAAATTTCATTAATTTGATGTAATCGAAAAAATCTCTCTTTTATACGAAAGATTTTTGATGATATTTTTCAAATATCATCGTCAGCGTTCAACAATAAAATAGAGCTAACTTTTCACCAGCTCAACCAAATGTGCTAAAAATTTGTATTTAGAGGTTTTAGATGATGCTGAACAAGATAAGAGTGTCAAATCAAAAAACTAAATTTTATCGAGTGCTTCGATTTCTCGGTGGCCTCATGCCTGCTCTCTTAATATAGATGGAATCGAATTGTCTCTCAAATAAATCGAGATGTGATGAACCCTAGTATTTTCGTAATGAACTTCCACTAAATACTAAAATGTTAGTCAATGATAACAGTTTATTGAGTCTATTATAAAAAAAAGAAATTCGATTTGAACTGTCGTTATCGTAAAAATTATACAAAGCCTTTTCTGTCAGAACTTGTAGATTTTGATTGATATATATTGTTTTGATTATCTTTGTTTAGGTAGTATGTATGCATATTTTAATCTGTTTTTTATTTTGATAGATTGTCCAGGTGAGACTCTCTTCTTCTTATACTGTACATTCGGTTAGATGGAAGATGTACGCATACTAATTAGTAGTTTTGTCTTTTTTCATTCGAAAACTCAAACACATACAAAGAAAACATTATAATATACAGCGATTCATTTTCTTGTTACATGAAGCGGTAAATAATAATGTTTGACATATTCAGTATTTGAATTCGTTACAGAAATTTAAATAGAAAATTTATATAGAACCTTCGTAACTGCAAAAGATATTATTTTTCGAAAAGCGAACTTTTTTAAAACTTCAATCGGCCAATAGCAAATCAGTTATATCGGGTGTGGGTGTATTCTTCTAAATCCACACCCACACCCACACATAATAGTATAGTTGCCCATCATTAACAGTGAAAATAGAAGAGATGCATTCGAAGATCGTAGCATATTATTAAAATAAAACAGTATACTAACTATGGAGAAAAATTTCTCCGAAAAAATGATTAACATGGAATTTTTGCTCATTGCATTGATTATATCTAATAAAATCAACGATATTATACAAATAGTCAGCAAAAAACTTGAATTTCAAACAAGGCGCACTATATAAGTTTCTGAATTTAAAAATTAATAAAAAAGATATCAATTGACTAATATCAATTAGAATTGATACAAATAATGTAGAAATCTATGAAGACGTTTGACGTATTGAAGACGTACAAATCAGTTAAACCCATTAAACAGAAATCAATCAAAATCAGATGTTTTTTCCAAATGTGTTTACATGGATTGCCATAGCTTTCAAATTACGTAGAGCAGTCAAACGTTTTTTAGAGATTACCTATTAATTACCGCAGTTGGTATCGATTTTTTAGAATTGAAACAATATTCTGTCGTGTTATCTCAAAATTTGGTATGCTTTTGTGAATATTATTATGCATTAAAAATATTGAAAGAATAAAAATTTACGTACACAAAAAGTAATAGCCATCTTTCATCAAGGTTTTAAGGATGCACTATTTTTCGTTGAAAGTATTCTCCTCACCCTCACCCTTCTCAATTCCTACACTATATCAAGGATCTATTAAACTTGACGAAAAGTAACAGGAATGTGCAAACATCTACCTTTGAAAACGTTCTTGTTGCTGGATACTGGAGTGCTAAAAACAAAATCGAGATTTGAGCTGTCATCGTTCTATACTGATATATACTTGATAGTTGGTTTTGATGCTGGTTTAATAGGATCCGATTTTGGCTTCGTTGTTGTTTCAGTTATCTAAATACAGACATGATAAATTATATTTATAGGATACATGAGATGATGTTCACTCACTTCTGGTACCAAATCAATAAGTGGAAATGGCGGCTTAATTTCTTTCAGTTGAATAATAACTAGATCTTTTCCTTGTTCCAAACACGAAACCACTTGTAATTGTCGACCGGCAGGCATAAGAATTTCGTCTTCGTTCTTGAAATCGGCATGTTCACGAATGTCTCTTCCACTGAGACATTCGATGGCGAAAAGAGTTCGTGCACCCGTCGAACCCAAGAATTGATCATTGTTCAGTACACCCATCGTCAGGGTGCACGAACTGAAACCCCACCACATAACTGTTTGTCCTTCTCGATAATCTGACCGCATATCACGCTTAATGCCACGGTATACAGTACGATAAATCGGCGGAAGAAATGAAAGTGCGGTAAGAAATAATTTGAGAAAGAGGAACCAGGGTTTCAATTTGTGCCGTTTCTCGTCTCTTAGTGTTTCATTTAACACGAAATAGAGACATTTGTCTTGTGGAACCCATTCCATCGAGTAAAGTATGATCGCACTAGATTGATCAACAGTTAGATGGTCTGCTGGATGATCTGCGCATTTCCATTTGGCGCAAGCTGCCATTCTTTTAACATCATGAACAATAGGTATTAATGGCTCCACTGCCTCTTCCAATGTAACGAGAGGCATATCAGCATAGCCGTGAATGGGTGTTAATTTTCGATTTGGCTTTTCTTCAATGTCCGAACAGCGCACTCTGTGTTGTGCACCGTCATCATCAATATATTTGGAAGCCATGGTTAAGTTTGCGAGTAGATTTGAATGAAGTTTGAAATAATATCTGAAATAAAAATGTCAAACTAGTTCGTTGCAAAACAATAAATATGGATAGGGCAGATGAGAACATGATTCTTGTTAACAAATTACAAGCCAACGCACTACGAACTTATATATACTATGATTATCGTGGTAGCTTTGGCAATTTTCAAAAGAATTGGCGAATAATCATGATCATATTTAGATTTCAACACGATTAACTATTCAGAAAGAAATGATGTTTTCGAAATTGACGATAAGTTAGAGCAATAAATGTCGATATATTTCATTATTGAGTTTGTTCATCGAATATAAATTTTTAATTAATTAGATCAATAATGTTTTTCTTGATGCATATCGCTAATGTGACATGAGTGAAATTTCATGCTCTCACATAATAATGATCGCACAAAACTGAACTAAGCTTCACATTAATACGGAAACACGTTGTTCAATATAGATGATATTGTTCAGGCTTCTTTTTCAGATAAAAATTTTGATTGTTACAGTTGATACAATGTTAGATAAGTTCTTCAACTTTTGACTAATGTAAAGTTTAAAAAAAACTTTCTTCTTTTTGGTACGATCAGACTTAAACATTATCATTGTAACCATGTAAACAACAAACGCAAAAATCATGCGTTTAAACGTGTTTTTCTTATAAAACGCGTCCAGACGCAGTAAGAATGTGGGTATGTGAGTGTAGGTGGTGTGGATGTGGATGTGGGTGTTTTTTGAGTTCTACTCACCCACCCACCCACATCCAAGCACTTTCTTATAGGAATCACTCTTAAACTACTTCTTTCATATAATTTTTTTGTACGTAGGTCATACTATGTTGCCTTGCCTAGTATTTTAATTCATTCTTGTTGTTTAATAAAAGAAATCAGGAAATAAATCGCATGACATTCTTTGAACTCGTCAAAACTTGACCTTTTCTCTTGAGGCGGAGAGGGATGATACATGCATTCATCAAACTATTCGTATTAAAAACCTACTGCTCATCCCCTAAACACCTTTGTGAAGCCTAATATATACTTATACGTATACAAAATTATGAAAATCAATTTGAATAATTCCATCTCTAGCAAAAAAATGCAATTATATTATGATTTTACAACGATCAATCTGTACATTCATTTCGCTACTAAATTTATAATTATTTAGCTCTTATATTATATGCACAGAACATAAGCAATACGATACCACCATCTCTTAAGGCCCCCTCCCCCGCCTCAGAAAATCGAGTTTTTCAGGGAAATATCGAAGTTGAGTTTTTATTACAGGAAGATGCAGCGAAGCTTCCTCTTTCAGAATATG